GTTCTGTTTTTCAACCTTGGGTGAGTACCTCTCACTCATGAACTGCTTCGTAACTGAACATAACTTTGTTTAGGCTTTTGGAGATTATTGTTTTACATTTTCCTCTTCAGTTCTTTGCCCTGCAAATGCTAGTCACCTTGCTCTTCACACATTCTCAAATCATCTCTTCAGTTCAGGAGGTTGGCTAGCTTTTTCCTGGGTTCTTTTTTGTTTGTTTTTGCACCACAATATGGAAACTCTTAGGTTTGTTTCTTTTCTCTCAGTGATTCTCATCTGGCATTGTTTGATATCCAGTTCATTTGGGTAATGAGTTGTTTGTGTATTTTATAGGACTTTCTATTCATTTCAATTGGGGAAGAAAATTCAGTCTCTGTTAATCTATTAAGGATGGAGTTAGAAGTAACCCATCATTAGGTTTAGCATTAGTGAAACTGTAATAAAACGGTGAGGAGAAATACACACATACATACCTACACACACACACACACACACACACACACACACATACACACAGTGTTTGCAAGTATTCAGTTTTCACTCACTTCCCTTCTCCATGTACTGTGAGTTATTTTAACTTTATATTTACTTATGGAATGTGTGTGTGTGTGTGTGTGTGTGTGTGTGTGTGTTTGTGTGTGTAGGTTTGTCTGTGTGTATTCATGCACACACATATGAATGTAAAAGTGACAGCATGAGTGTGGAGGTCAGAGAACAACTTTCTGGAATCAGTTCTCTCCTTCTACTACGTGGGTCCTGGGGTGGGAACTCCAGTAACCAGCTTGCCAGCAAATGCCTTTAGTAGTTGAACCTTCTCTCTGACACTGCTTAGAATTTTGTCCCAGTTTTACTTCCAATATATTTACTTTTCTTATATTCTTTTTATTTCCTGATATGTAGGTATACATAATTTCTTTCCAGCAATAGTATATACAGTTCAAACACTTTCGTATTCCTTATGATGTATGTAGCATTTTAGAATAAATTAAAGTTGATTATTCTTTTCTATAAGATAGGATTCAAAATTGTAGAGGAAAAGTGCAGGGTACATAATGGTGTCATCAGCTTTTATGTTGATGTTGATTTTTATTCCAGTTGTCTCCACTGAAATTAGGTGCCATATGTTAGGTAGCAGTTCTCATTAGTTCAGTTGCAATCTGTTGAGAAGAATACTCCAGCTCACATGAGGAATGAATTCTAAGTCTCTTGGACTCTGCTTTGGCTCTGTTTTGTGAAACTGCTTTCTTCTGTTTTCAAACTCTACTCATTGACCTTGAAGTCATAATTCACAAATTCGAGAGGTTTGGAGTGAACTGTTAAAAATGTCTGAGTGTAGTATCATGATATATAGTCATAGAAAATGTCCATTTCTCCAAATTGAGCTCTCAATTGTGTTTTTTCATTGATGGCCTCTGAGGCCTGTTTATTCCCATCACCCATTTGGTAAGCTTCCTCTCAATCCTCTTGACTTCTCCATATCTCTACTTACTATTAATGTGGCTAGAAGTAAGCAATTATTTTATAGACCCAAGTATTCATACATTTTTACCATTTGAATTAGGTATGGATCTACATAAAATTATATAATCAATGCATTTTTGATATATCTTTCAGAATACACATGCCAATTCGAATATGAGGAAAAGAACAAATGCCTTGGTCCACTCAGAATCTGATACCAACAGCAGAACTGAGGTGGGAAACCATTCCAGTAAGACCACGACAGTCCAAGAGCCTGCTGAAGCCACAGCGAAGGAGTACTTAGCTTCTAGCCCAAATCCATTCAGCAGGGCAAATGCAGCTGAGACGATATCTGCAGCAAGAAGTCTTTCATCTGCACCCTCTCCCACTCCTTGTGGCACATCGAGACCAGCTTCTTTGGGGTCAGCTTCTACGCGTCCCGCATTTGGGTCTAGACTTGGGCGAATTAAGACCACAGTTAATACCACAGGGGCACCTGGGACTGTGTCAGCCACACCTCCTCCCTCTGCTCCACCACCGTCTGGATCTGGCACAAGTAAAATAGACAAATATGCTCGTATTCTCTTCCCAGTCACATTTGGGGCGTTTAACATGGTCTACTGGGTTGTCTATTTATCTAAGGACACCATGGAGAAATCAGAAAGTCTAATGTAATTTTGTTGCTATAGTAATTTCATAAAAGATGATGGAATTCAGACTGCCTTTTTAAATGTTTTTAAAGATAAGTATTCTTTACTAAAATAAAAATTCTACGTAATTTTTCAATTTAAAAACACAAGCCAGCTGGGTGATGGTGGTGGTGGTGGCGGCGGCGCATGCCTTTAATCCCAGCACTCAGGAGGCAGAGGCAAGAGGATCTCTGTGAGTTCAAGGCCAGTCTGGTCTACAAAGGTACACAGAGAAACCATGTCTCAAAAAACCAAAAAAAAAAAAAAAAAAAAAAAATACGAGCCAGATAGATATCGAAAGAGTCAATTAATTCCCTAGTGGTCAGAAAGTGAATCATCTTTTCTTAAGGAAAGATGATTTTAAAAGAATCTATTCAGTGTTCAAATTGGATGGAATAAAGACCATTATGGAAAGTCAGAACAAGAAAAATAGGGCCAGAAGAGCTATGTAATGCATATTTTTGCATTGAAATTTGAAAAAGAAAAGACTGTGATATTTCTAAATACACCCCATGAAATCAACCACTCACCAAAAATTTCCCATTGGCCAATGCCAGAATTGTGTACTGGAAATCACAATCAGTGACCTTTGCAGTCCCTCATACTATTAGCAAGAAAAGACTTTCTCTGTTAAACAAAACACCTGGAAGAGGAAAATGGAACCAAGCAAACACTGATCAATACAGTGAAGCCTCTGCTGCATCAATAACAGATAACGACCAGGGCAAATGTGTTTTTCTGGCACACATTGGCTAAAAAAAATACTTAACAGTTGACTTGAAATGTTGTGCTCTGAGCCAAAGTTAAATTCATTGTACAAATTCTTTTTCATAGTATCTCATTCAGTTATGTACTGTATACATTTACCACATAGTTCCTCAGAGCCTGGAGCCTACTGTGCTCTAGGTGTTTTAGAGACAGTTTTCTAGGGACGCTCTTTCACCTTTACAAAGTCACTTCAGTAGTAGGACCATCAGTGCATGTTAAAGAACCATGCTTTAACCAAGGACATTATGTTCTTTAATGAAGGCAATTTAGTTAGAGTCTGACAGCATAGCCGATATATTTGTTTCTCCTGCATTGACAGGGGGAAAACAAATACATTTGTTCCTATAGCCACTTTGAGATAAGTACATGTTAGCAAAATCTTGATGGCTGCTTCTCAACTATAATGAAATAATGATAGAGATTGTTCTATAGGTGGAAAAGCATCATATACCTGAGACATAAAAATCTGGGCACTGAAAACCTAACAGATTACCTGTGTCAAATCTGATGCAGGTCACATAACACAGTTTTCCCACTGGACCAGAATGACCCAAATCAAAGTCCACAGGGCTCCTGTATGCTTATCCCAGTAGAGAACAATATTAGCTGCCAAAATGCTAACGTTCTTGCAAGCTTTTGTGGTCCTAATGTTTGTATGTCTGGCATGGTTTGTATTTGTTTTCTAAGCGTTTGATAAGGCTTTATAACCAAGGTACTTTAAAAATTAAAGGAGCAGTTAGAGAAAGAAAGGAATAAAAACATCATAGCCTTGGATGGGATGTCAATCACTGTTAGGCAATATATCTGGATTTTCAAGTACTGGCTTTACCTTTTCATTATGTAGGCCTAATAGCCTAACTGAAACACTTGCAGCTTTCTAAATAGCTCATCCTGGTTGATCTTTTTTGTTGTTTCACTTTCTAATTTTCCCCCTCTATTTCTACCTGTTCTTGGTATGTGTAAATGAATATATTCTGGGTTAGGGGGGAACATTTGATAGAAATGGACATCTTATAGACAGAATATCTTATTTTCTGGGGGAAATTATACTGATTAATATGAATTTTTGTGTTACTACATTGCTTTGTAATGGTTGCCCATGAAACTTATAAAATTTAAAAATGTCAAATCCTAATTGACCTCCATCTGAGAATTTCTTTTTTATTTCTAAATATTTTATAGACTTAAAACACTTTCATGTTAAAGGATATGGAAGAAGTCCTCACTTATAAATTTATTCCAACAAAATGAGGCCCAGGAACATCTGTAAATATGTTTATACATTTAATAAAGAGTAATTGTACATAAAAGCTTATACTAAAATTATTTCATGAGTGTGAAAATGCTTTTAAAGGCTTTTATTCCAATGCTTAGAGTTGTGATGGGAAAACATCATCATTTTTTATAACAATACAATGATCTTATTGCTTGGGCGATAAACACTTTTGATTTTGTTTGTTTGTTTTGTTTTTCTCTATTGTCATTTATTTTAAAATAATATTCATTCTCTATAAACTTTAAAGTTTATTGACCTGTTTTAAAACATACTCTTTCAAAATTTTTATGGGTTTTAAATGGGTTGAAAAATAACTGACTCATCCCAGCTTCACAGTTCGAACCTGTGATCCAAGTTTTGGGGAGGCTGATGAAGAGAAATGCTATAAGTTTTGAGGCTACAGAGTGAGTTATAGGCCATTCTGCGATAGAGTGCAACGTGGTCTTCAAATAAAAACAAAACCCTAGGTGAATAAGCAGTAATAAGTTTTAAAAAAAGAAATTGTGGTAAATGCCCCTGCCCTGGGGGCAGGGAATAAGGCAGAGTCTTTGTATCCAGGGTAGCCTTCAAGCTGCTATCCAGATCAGGCTGATCTCAAACCCAAGTTCGTCCTTTCTGTTCCCCATGCAATTAGACTGCATGTTTATATCTTCATGACCAGAAAGGACTAAACTATTCAAGGAGTCTCCTTTGTTCATTTGAAGACTAAATTGTCCAAAACACTTTACTGCTAGTATACAGAATCTATCTCACTTGCAAGTGACATTCTTAATAGTAGCAATACATGCTTCATTTCATTGAGACTTTCTTATCTTTTCCTTTGGTCATAAATTATATCTTCCTCATAACTTCAAGGCACATTGGACATTCTTATGTGAGGTTTAGTCACTTTTCCCCATTATTCATAAGAATGACCATGAGATCCCAAAGTACTGGACAGTGGTGGAACAAACAAACCACCATCTTCTGTCTGAGAATGTTACCTTTTGCAAAACTCCATCTCTAAAGTTTAAGTTCACAATTCGTTTATATTTTCCTGGTGAATATGTTAATTTTAGTTTTTCATTACCAAGTTGGCTGGTTATAGCTATGTAATCACTTCTAATTTCCTACAGTCAGGACTTGTTATAAAAATCATTTACATGATTAACCAATGGTGAAAAAAAAAGTTTGTCTTTGTGCATAGACCTAGTACTTTATGTAACAAATGCTTTAAACTGAGCCCCACAAATCTGAAAGGACAGTGCAACATCACTCTCTTTCATATTAGAGATGAGTCACAGATCAGTTAATGATGAAGATAAATGCAGTAGGTTGGAATGAACTTCTAAAAGGTCATTTTTCATTCACTCACCTTACCATGAACCTTATTTCAAGTAATACATAAAAATGTGTGTATTCTACTTTATCTATAAATCAGGCAACTGTTTATGATCCAGGAGAAGGGATAGAAAGAGTCTGTATTCATCAAATGAGTACTATAACTACCTTGGTACTCAAAACAGGGAGGAAAATAACCTAATTGCTATGGCTTGTTTAAATTTCAATATCATATGAATATCATCGTAAATAAGTATAAGCATATACCTACAAAAGATACATGCTATAGTTTGAGCCACAAATATATATTACTATTAAGAAATATGTATTATATATAATATATACTATTATTTTGAGTTTGGTTTATTTCTAAGTAATATGTGCTTCTAATTAAAATAAGGCAAAACAAAAAATCCCTTTCTTATTTCAAGTTGAAAGAGTATTGATATATTTTCTTGTCTCTGTTTTCTTTATCATTACTCACTGAGCTCCTACTCACTGGCCTTTCCTTGAAGTTGGTCACAGGTAGATTAGGGACTATTGAGTGTAATAAATGTGTTGATTATGGAGCAGGACCAAGATCAGGACTCTCAAAGTTACAAACATCAAGGTAAGTATTAGAAATCAGTGTCATAATACTGAAAATCAATGCAGAAATTGATGGTGAACTAAATACACAAAATATAAATAAATTGACTCATGTTGGTAATGCTTATTTTTGTCTCAAACTCCATTTTTTCCAGCCATGATGCTAATGTTGATGGTAGATAAAGGGCTCTTGTAACTGTTACTTTGGCAATGAAGGTTTTAACAGATCAAGCTTCACAGAGTGGTCATGAACTGAAATTCATGATCTACAGTTCTTCTAGGCCAACCCACCCAACTCCCACAATTGAAAACCCATTTGTGGTTTGTTATTACCTGGACTTAACATGTCTAAACTCTTACTATATATAGGAAAAATTGGAACCAGGAAAGTTTAAGTTGTAGATGGTTGCAAAAAGTGGTAGAAATATATAAGGAAAATTTTTGTGGTATTTGCTGAAAATATTGAATTTTACTCAGATTAGTGGTGTTGGGGTTTTCTTGGAGCACAGTAAGGAAAGACTAAAACACATTTGCTTCTATTTGAAGGAAACCTATGACTACTCTTGGCATTATGGGTGGGAGAGGAACTCAGAGGCATTGAGAAAATTGAGTCTCATCTGTACTTTCCAATTAATCATTGACTGCCATTTATTTTTTAATTCCAATGGTGAACTATCATTTGTGAATTACATATATGTAAAAATTGTCTGTTATGAATAAAGGTAATTGTATAATAAGTGGTCAGTTTTAATATCATATGTATACAGGTAATATACAAATTTGAGAAGTTTGTATTTTTCTATTTAGGAATAGATATACATACACACACACACACACACATATATATATATATATATATATATATACATATATATGTATATATATATAAATGATATATATCAATAATTAAAGGCAAAGAAGACTTGAAATTGAGTGAGAGCAAAAGGATGCATGGGAGTGGTTCGAGGGAGGAAAGGTAAGGGGGTAAATGATGGAATTAAATTTTAATTTCAAAAATTAAAAATATGAGAAAC